ATGGAAGAAGCAGGTAAAAGATAATGGATGGATGAATGGATGGATGGATGAATTTGCATCAGACATATATGTTATTATGCAAATAATGTGGGCCAAATAATCAGAGTCAGAGATTTTTTATTGTCATTCGCACCTCATGTGGTACATGTTGTGGAGCGAAATTATGTACACAGGGTCCCAGTTACATCCAACAATAAAATGTAAAAGAAAAACAATAATAACATCTAAGATATGAACTAAGAAAAACATCAACTAAAAATACACTAAGCACTAATAGCATAAAAACATTACATTGAACATCAGCACAAACATGAACACAAGTCTGTGTAAGCAGATGAGCACGCATGAACACATCAACATTGAAACAGATCAGCAGCAACATGATGTGATTATTCTGGTTAGAGATTCATGAGTCTAACAGCCTCAGGGTAGAAGCTGTTCCTCAGTCTAGTGGTTCTACACTTAATGCTCCTCAACCTCCTTCCTGAGGAGAGCCAGTGCTGAGGGTTATGGTGGAGGAGGAGAAGTTGTGGATCCTCACTGAATGTGGTCTGTTTGTTAAGAAGTCTAGTACCCAGTTGCAAATGGAGTGGCTTAGTCCTAGTGTGGATAGTTTGTCCATCAGGGTTTGGGGGATCATGGTGTTGAAGGCAGATGTGAAGTCCACAAAGAGCATACGGACATAAGAGTTTTTCTGCTCCAGGTGGTTGAGCGCAGTGTGGACCACAGAGGAGATGGCATCTTCTGTTGATCGGTTCTCATGGTATGCATACTGATGAGGGTCCTTGTTGATGTTGATGGTTGTTTTGATGCGAGTCATGATCAGTTTTTCGAAGCATTTAGCAACTATCGAGGTGAGGGCCACTGGCCGATTCTCATTCCGACCAGTCATTGTAGAGCTTTTTAAGACTGGGATGATGGTGGCAGTCTTCAGGCAGGTGGGAACTGTCTCCAGGGTAAGTGAGGTGTTAAAGATGTCTGCCAGCACCTTGCAGAGCTGATTGGCACATTCTTTCAACATTTTTCCGGGGATGTTGTCTGGGCCAGTTGCCTTGTGTGGATCTATCCTCCTGAAGGTACTCCTTACTTCAGCTGAGGTCACGCTGAGATGCTTTTCATCCGGTGGTGAGGTGAGTCTGGTGCTGGGTGGTCTGTTCGGGTCTTCAAAGCATGCATAGAACTTGTTGAGGGCATCAGGCAGAGATGGGTCTTTGGGGCATTGTTCGCTCCTTTCTTTACAATCTGTTATGCACTTAATGCCCCTCCACATGCTCCGAGGGTCTTGTGAGATGAATTGACCCTCGATCCTCTGTGCATGTGGCCTTGGCCGATATACTGTACTGGAAAAAAAATTCAGGCATTTTTAGCAGAGGAGGGAAATACTGAAAAATATATTTTAAGCATATATGTGTTATTCTGATGCATGCTCATATGTGTGTTAGTGTTTTAACATAGCAATTATGAGCTACTGTGTCAAGTTAGAAATGTACACTTTCCCATTAACTTTATCCAACGTTTTAACAACCTTGAACGCAGCATTACCTTTGTGAACCTGGAGAGGAAAGCAAGACTCAAAAGTTACATTCACAGACAAGCTGATCTGTGCACTCGTGTCGACTGGTTCGTCCACAACAGGTGATTCGTGCAGGTGCATTGGACAAGTTCATTGCTGCAAAATATTCCTACTTGTGCAAATTGTGTACATTTGAAAAACTGTTCATGCATTTGTGAATCTTGTTTCAAGCATTTGTAAAACTTGTGGTATACTTGTGAGTCTTATTGCACGTGTAAAAATCTTGTCTGCTTGCATGACTACATTTGAGACTGATTTATCTTCAGACACCACACAGTGAAGCTGCTTCAGGGTGCAACAAAGTTAAGTCAGGTCCTCTGGAGGGTTTCTTTTTGTTGAAATGTTTTGTCTTTCATCCAAAGGACTTCATCAGTCTGAGGAGCCACAACAAACTCAGTCCCATAAGTAGCGCACTCGCATAGTGGGCCAACCAGTTTGATGGTGATAAGATGTTTTCTGGAATCCACTTTGATGTTTTGAACCACTGGCTGCCTCAGATGAGTCGACTGGGGAGAGGGCGGACTCCAGAAACCATCTCATCACCATCAAACTGGTTGGCCCACGATGGCATTGTGCTACTTATGGGACTGAGTTTGTTGTGGCTCCTCAGACTGATGAAGTCCTTTGAATGAAAGATGAAACATTTCAACAACAACAAAAAAAAAAAAAAAAAAACGTCCAGAGGACCTGACTTAACTTTGTTAGACTTTTTTTTTTTACCTGGAATATTAAACATGAACTTTATTGACGCTTCTTTGTGTTTTATCAGTCCTCCACCAGCAGAGGGCAGAGCAGAGCTAAACATCTCAGGAGTTCAAACAAAACTGCAAATGGCACACAAGGTAACTGTGCAAAACATAACGTACATTTTTCAACTAAAAGCTTCATTTAGCCTAATATTTCATCTTTTTTGTACTAATTTTATAATTAACTGTTAGTTTTTATACTGTGTGTGTACTTGAAAATTATTATGATTGAAATATTTGTTTGAAAAAGGGACAGATATAATAAGATTTTTTCTTCTTTCTGCTGCTTTTCATTTTAAATCTTTTGTATCTTTCTTTATATTGATATGGAATTGTTTTGTACCTTTTTAAAATGAACAAACTTTATACCAAATACCAAATATTGTGTGTGTATATTCTAGCCCATAAAGAGACAAGAAACAAATAAACTCCTTGTCTTTTTTTGTGAATTGAAAGCTAGGAATTTAAAAATAAAATAATTTTTAAAATATGCTCTTGAAGGCATTATAAACTTGTTAAATTATCCCTTATATTATTTTTAAATCGTACTAATTCATATATATATATATATGTACAGTTTTGTCAAATTATATTTGGTAACCACCACTATTGGACAAACCAACTGTAATAAAGGAAATCACAGAAAAGTACAAAAGGATCTCTACAGCCTTTATTAGATTTATTTGAGTTTGTGGAGTGAACAAATAAGCAAACATCTCTGAGGCGGACTGGACTGAAACATTTGGTGTTTTATTTCCCTGCAGTCCTGCAGTGCACGGAGTCATGTCTCCACTTCTGGACATGACCTACTAACACAGTGATGCATGGAGCAGAAACCATCTGTCTGTGAATGTCTGCAGTCACTCAGAAAAATATGAGTCGACGTAGTGTAAGTTTTTATTGAAAAGCGTTTCTGTTATTTT